TAATAATAATACCAAATAAAAAATTAAAAAAGTTTCATAATAATTTACATTGATTATAAAGGGTGTCCCAAAATTAACGTAACGTATTTGAAATTGCCGCCATTTGTGCAGTAAAGTGATGGAAAAAAACTATTTGACACTTTACTGCACGAAGAGTGGCAGATTCAAATGTTACGTTAATTTTGGGACACCCTTTAAATGTTCAATTGAAAAAAAAAGTTTAGTTATAATTTGTAATTTAATAATTTATGTTTTTCTCTAAAATTGGTATTGATTGTAATGCTTTTACTGAATAATTGAATGAGTTATGTCTTATGAATCTTGAAGTAATTTAATTATTAATTTAAGACGAATACATTGTTGTGTGTTGAATCAGCAGCAGCAGCAAAGCAAAACGGATTTAATCGGATACGAACAAAAAAAAATACGTAATGCGATTTTAAATCATTTCGATTAGGATAATAAGCACGCATTATTTTTTATGGTAATCTTTGCCGGTAGAGAGAATCCTTGATTTAATAATATCTCCTCTATCTTTCTAAGGAAAGAAACGTAATCCCCGGAAAGATGGAAATGCATCATTTCCACCCGATTCCCGTTGTTGTTTGTTGTTGTTCAACGTTTTCCATCGGCGAGTTACGAGGAGATGCGCATTCCGGATGCAATCGGAAAGTAATCCCGAACGTTATTAACGAGTTTTCGCGCGAACAACGAGATGCAATCGTTACACATCCTTCGATATCGTCCAGCATCCGTATACACGTCTCTGAGCACGTAGCTACATGCAAAAAAATAGAAATTATACAGAAGTGAAACTCACTAATTCTTTCTTGGAATCCCGCTTAAAGTGTTTACACTGATTTACTTTTATAATAATAGAAGACATTTCCAAGGAAATTATTTATCAAAAAGTTCTTAAAACTCTTTGTTTTATTTATAACTACATTGTTAATTTCTGTAAATGTTTCCCAAATATTTCATCAATTTCAAAATTTGTATTTTCCCAGAGAAAAGCAAAAGACAGAAGGTTTTGTAAATAATAATATTACGTTCGTAAAAACAACAATTATTGGTAAAAATATTCGATTCTTGGCGACAATTACTTTATTTTCCATCACGATTTTACCAAATCTATATTTAACTTCTCTAACATTTCCTTATTTCCGTTACATAAACCTATAGAAAAAAAAATAAAAATCTGTTTGGAAATTTCCGATTATTTTCCTATCCGCGTCTGGAGTCGCGCCAATTTTTATGCATGTTTATTTTTCCAATCTCTTCCTCCCGATATTATGTGTGAATTATTTTTTTTTCCATTGGGAAACGTTCCGTCTTCATTTTATCACTCCGTCGCGATTAACTCGCCGTAAACAATGGAAAATTAAATGTTTTTCATCCGAAATTAGGAATCTTCCATTTCCATTCTTTGGGCAACATTTCAAGATAATACAAAAAAAAAAGGAAAGTTGCCCTTCGGCTTTGTTTTTGGGGTTTGCTTTATTAATAACGGCACTTGAGTACATATTTTCTTTACCCGTTATCAGATGTGTGCATAAGCTTTTTTTTTTCTTCTCTCGAGGTCGCGCGATGACCAGATGTTTATTGTTACGTGGAAGAATCAACAGAACGTGGAAGGTTTTCCCTAGTATCGTTGGCAAACTACGACTAGCTTGAATTTTCTTATATGTTGTTGTTGTTGTTATTGTTTTTTTGGGAATACTAGGAAAAAGCTAATTAATGTTAATCTAAAGGTTTATTTTTTGGCAACCTGTCTTCTATTCGGAAAAGTTTAGAAGAAACATAAACATTTTTGTTTGAAAGAAACGTGGAATTGATATACATTATTCTTCTCTCTTTTCGTACCTGCTTGTTCTTCTCATCTTTCACTTTGTACGCGTAAGATTTATTGTTTTTTTTTAACAAGAAGATTTGAGTGTGTCATTTTTTCTTATTGCGGCGCATTTTGATTAATCACATTTCGATGTGGGGGTAAAAAAAAAACTTTTATACAGTAAGATTTATGATATTTTTTTTTACGCGCATCGCAGCATCTTGATGAATACGTCAAGATGATTACGTTTGAAACCTAATTTGGATAAAGCTTGTGAATACACATTTCCTGTTCCAATTCATATTTTCTTCTTCAAATTATTTATTTCCTATTTTCTACTTCTATTTCGTTGTTGTTGTTGATGATAATGATGACTCTCCTACTGGGACGACGATGGACGTCAATCAATTCCTTGACTCCTCTCTATACAAATTGCGTTCCCTTCGCTTGGCTCGTCCGTAATGATGAACATCGTCGGCACTCGAATTGCATTCTTTATGACTTCCGGAAAGGCAATTGTACAATTGATTGTGCAATAAACATGTAGAGAGAGTCTCATTGACAAGGGGGACATCACTGATTGCAATACAAAAGTCCCTGTTGCCATCCGAACGAACAATGCACACGCCGCCTCCTCTCACAACAAGCAATGCTTTCGTTTATATATATATATATTTATTATTATTTTTTTAATTGAAAGATGTTTATCTGCTGCTGCTGCTGCTGAGAACTCTTTCTCTTCTGAAAAATAAATGTAAATAAAAAAAGAAACTAAAAGAGAGAAATGATTGGACGAAGAGAAGTATAATAAGGAGATGAAGGAGGACGCAACAAGGCGTATCTCGAATCTCGTGGTAAACAAGTAAACATTTTAATTAAGAATGCAGAATTGCTTAATAAAATGATATATATATGTGTGTGTGTGTGTGTATTTCAGGCGCATAGGTCAATAGCCTTTTTGTGCATTTGTTGTTGTAATGTTTGTATTTGTTATTGTAATTATCTTGCTTTATTGCAAGATATTGATTAATTCGTGCACATATCAATGTTATTCATGTGATACAATATTATGATGTAATAATATTTTAAATTTGTATCTTAATTATTTAGATAAATTTCAGTTTTCCTTAAATTTTAAGTAAAATTTTTACTGCTTTCAATTATAGCTTATAATTATAACTAAAACTTTTTATATATATATAATATATTATACAGGGTGACCCAATTGAACTGTAACTTTTCAGAACGCTGTATTTTTGTTATTTGAAATTGTATTTTATTGAACCACAAGCAAAAAATGTTGGAAAACAACTAAATTTTTTGAATTCAATTAAAATTTTCAATATGGTTGCCTTGTGCAGTTACTGCAGATTTCATATAAATTGATTTAAAATAAATATTTTCACAAATTTTCAGAAGATTACAACTTTAAATGTAAACAGTTACAATATTTATGTAATTCTCAATGAAATTTTGAGAAGAATAAATATTTTTACCTGTTAACACTCATACTTAAGTTAAAAACCATTCATTTTGCAGTTATTACTCATTTTCAGGAATTTTTGTTACAAGTTGTTAGCTGTTAAAGTGTTACAGTTTTTTTTTCAGTAATTCACTATTAAATTTGAGTATTAAGAAAATTGAAATTTTCTTAAAAAAAACTTCATTTTACCGTAGATACTTACAATACAGCTAAAACTGACCATAATATAGAATATACATCATTATAATGACTTTATTGCTGATATCATATAAATTGATTTAAAAATAATAATATTTTCAGGATTTTTCAGACTTTATTTTTACAACTTACATTTTATATGAAATTCACAATTAAATAGAAAATGCATTTAAATTTTTACTTTCAAATTTTGAAAAATAAAATCTTCATAATTTCTGAAAAAAACTACATAATAAATTGATTCAGAAAAAACGCAATATTTTCAAATTCTATTTTACTTCATGTTAAATATACATCATACATTAATATTATATAAAACTAAGATTTTTCTTATAATTAAATTTCAAAATATTACAAGTATCAATAAAATGTTTAGCAACATTCTTGAAAATGTATAAAATAGTTAAGATCAAATAAACTAAAAGCTAAAATTGTATAGAGTAAATCTCAATTTTAGTATCAACAGTTTTATGCATGAAATTCAGTTTACGCATATTGCTTGCAATAAATGTTGAAGTTATCTTAGTTTCCAAGAGAAATTGCAATACTTTGGGTAAAACGTACATCGTATTATATTGCACAGTAAATGCTAAAATGAATAAGAAAAACAATGGACAAAGGCGTGGGTCAACCAAACAGCTGGCTGCACGTTTATGATCGCAACTTTTAAAACTTGTTACGTGCTCATATCATCATCATATTTGATCTTTTTATTTCAGACTAATTTAGTTTTAATTGGCGCATATTACTGTAGGTAATGGACCTGCTGTAAATCTATTGCTATTTATAAGTATACGAATGTGTGTTTGGCTGTGTGTGTAGAGGAGCATTGTGACCTTCTTTCTGGAACGAGCTGAAATTACGATTTAAGGTCATTTCAATCGAGTCTACACACCGAGGGTTTCACAATTAAGACCAATTGTGTTTTATGTATTTTCATGTTCTCGGTGCATAGGGAACACGACCAAAGGTTAATGATCATATCGAATTAGGAATAATAAAAAATCTTTGGTTTAATTTTTGCAGTTGCGAGTTGCTTTTATTGGGTAATTAATAAAAAAAAATAAGAGATAATGTTGGGATGGAAAAGGTGGATTAGGTGCTTGGAATATGGCGATAGGCTTTGGTAATGAAGGGATGGATTAGAGGTTTTATGCGACCTCCGGTTGATGCGCGATGATAATGCGATTAGTAAGTAGTATATGTGTGGAGCCGAGCTGTCTGGGGAAGGCTTCGTTTATTTGTCATCAGATAAAGTCGGCTTTCCGATAACACGGGAGGAGAGCGCGAGCGTCGCGACGCCGCGCGTCCTCCTCCTCGACTACTCGCGCCGTTCCCGTTGTTACTAAGCGACTCCAAACAGCTGATGTTGTACGTGCAGTGGTCCACATTGGGCCAATCAGCTGTGCGGCAGTTCCACCTCTCCCAACACCGCCGCCACCGCCGATCCTTCCTGCCTCGTCCTGCTGTGACTATGCTATATGCCGCTATGCTATACTGCTATATACTAACCGGCCGGCTATAGCGAACAGCCGGGGGACCGACGACTGTGAGCATGCCTCAGCGATTCCTCCTCGAAGCCAGCTCGTAGACTCGATCCACTCTCAGTTCCATCCATTGCTTCGCACCGAGCGCACTACATGCATCCGACCACAATCTTCCCGATAGACTCTTCACTTAGGACTTAGCATGTGGAAGAAGTAGTGCCTCCTCTGAACAATATCACTTATACAAACCAGCAACAACACCAGTCAAACAATTTACTCTCTTGAGTCAATGTGCAATCATCCTCCAGTGTGTTCAGCTTCTTCATCGTCCGACTACTGCTAGTAGAGGATCTCCAAGTGGGATACCAATACCACCGAAGCTATTTCTGGGTACAAATCACTATATATCTCCAGTGCGTGTTGTGTGAATAAGCCGGCAAAATTCCGGTTGCAAGGCAAAGCCTCGGCACTCTGCACGAGGCCACCACAATGGGACAGATACCACAAAATGTAATTATCACAATCACTACTCATCCATTTAATAATATCTTAAGAAAAAAACATAATTTCAATTACAATCTCAATAAACGCGCAAATTAAAAAAAATCCATTTCTATACTCACGCTAAAAATCTCTTCTTAATTTTCACCAAAAATTAGAACCGTTACACATTTATAATGTAGACAAGTTAAACAAGAAACAGAAATTAATCACGAATACCCAAAGAATTTTGTTTACAAATCAATAATACTATAATAATAATGTTAATGGAATGCGCGCAGAAACAATTAATTCAGAAAAAACAAACCATAAATCATTCGGTGAAAAACTTTTATTCGCAAACGCCTTTACTCAATCGAGCAAAACAAGAAAATAACACATAATAGTTTTCTTTTATGTAATCAATTAACATGTTTACCGATAACAGCACAGTTTACTTGATTATTTACGCGATATTTTGATATATATCATAAATACAAACTTAATTAATATAATAACCATGTGTAGCATTAATTAATACTACATTTTTTTTTATTCATTATTTCAATACTTTTTGCAAATTTTTATGCTGCATTTCTCGTTTTAATTGGCTAAAATGTGTATGTTATTTTAATTAAAACGAAATCGAATCTCCTCTATATTCATTATTTTTGCATTCGTTACCAGTTCATTAAATAAATTACTTGATATTGTTAACGTTTCATGTTTCAATAATATATATAACATACATTTTAATTAATATTTTGTTTTATTGTTTCGAAACATTTTGCAATTTAAATTTTCTCTTGACAACAAAAGCTTGAAACAAACGCAAAATTTGATTTTGCCACTTGATTACATTTTAATTAATTAATCTATTTTTGAAACTTTAAATTATATTTAATTAAAATTCAATTACAAAAAAGATTAATAGTTTACAAATTTTCATTAAAATAAATTTGTATTCACTCTCACTTAATTAGGTTAGACTTTATGACTCGTAAAATTCACTCGTACCGTTCAAGTTTGCACTCTTTCTACAATAATTTTTACGATGATTTAATTACGGATGCAACAGCGAAGAAAATCTCTGACGCAAAAACGTTGTTGTTTTACAAATCGATTCGCATATTTTCTGTTTGTTTTAATTAGATCAATCGACTGTTGAAATGTAGATAAATTTGGCATAAAATTACTCAATAATCGGATAACTAACAGATTTTAAGTCTTGAAACTTGACGAGAATCTAACTGAATTGCATGTCGTAATTAAGCAATTAATAACGTTTAAGTACACACGGAGAGAGGCGTTCAATTTGCTCGGAACGTGAACAGAATTTAATAAAAAAAAAACTTGTCACAAAGATATGTTAATTTTCATAATATCAATTAATTAATTTATTTTTGTATCTTTTTACCTTAGTTTGAGGTGTTATTATGAAGACAAAGTTTTCTTTTGCGTGCACTTTAAATTAATAGTGTAATTTATTAACGATTGAAAACGTTTTAAATATTAATTACACTCTGGTGTCAACATCTAATTAAATGTGAGCGCAATAACAAAATAATTAATTTTTAATGTCTATATTAACTATATTTACATTAATTATTTTATTATTACTCTGCTTTATAGTGGAAACTCGCTTAACGAGCAAAATTCTACATCATTTTTCACTATACTAGTTAAAATCCGGAAATTTTGGAACCGATAAAACTTGTTAATCACTGACTATTGCGATACGATCGTCTGGCAAACAATAAACAAATTTTTCTGTAATTTTTTAAATAACGTACGACAATGGTAATTTTTTCGTGCGTGGAAAGTTTTTCGATTTGAGATTACGGAGATCTATAAATAAACGTAAATTTTATCTATCTCGGCGGATTGTATGTGTGTGTCTCTATCAAATAATTAGTGAATTGGCTTAATTGGTTTAGTTTAATTTCGATCCGTTTTAGTGAATTAACCGCAGAGAGTGCTTATCGTATTGCCGCAGATTTCGATAATCGTCCGAAAGTGCGGTGAATTCGGTTGCCCGTGTTTCTGATAATGGTGAAAACTGTTTATATAAATTGCATGCACAATAACCGTAACAAGTTTCATTCCATTTGCTTCAAAAGAAAACAATTAGTTTTACATGAAAAAGTAGAAATTGTTATATTAAAATATGAATTCACATCAAGATTTCTCTATTGGAATCATGTAAAAACTATTTGAAAATTTTACTATTTATTGACTATTAATTAGATTTAGTTTATTTTTGAATAGAAGAAGTAAAGATATTTTTCTGATTTAATAAATAAATTTTTGAAATTAGAAAAAAGAAATAAACTAATTTCTAACTAATATATTGAACTAGAAATCATGAAATAGGTGAAATAAGTTGCACAAAAGTAAAAGTATATATTTATTTTTTTTGTCCAACGTTTAATTGAATATATATATATATAGAAGAACCAGTTATTTTCTGTTCAATGTCTATAGGGAAATCATGAAATAGATACTTTCACTAAAAATTTTCTGCTTAATATCAGAAAATGATCGCAGCAAGTTGTTTGTGAAACATCAGCGCTCGAAAAAGAAAAAAAACGGAGCAAATAAGCGCTCTCATTGCGCGCGACATTGTAGGAAGTTGGCGTTGTGTACGACGATTTTTGTTATATGTGCATTTGCGACCATTTGAAAAATTGATCAAGGCAATCGGAAAATGAAAGTGAGACGCGTGTAAAAACGTGTATTAACTCTTTCTCTTTATTATACTGTTGTTTTCGTGCAGCATTTCTCGCACAATGTGGAGTTTGTTGTTTCGGATTATGTAATTAAATTGCAATTCTGATGGTGATATTGTTCTTCCGAACGTATCGCCCGTGTGAAAGCCATTGTCATCATTCGTTTTTCTTCATCTGTATTTATTTATTTTTTTCTTCAACTCTGGTTCAAATGCGGTTATAATGATGATTCATAATAATTGAGTTTCTCTTGTATATTGCTTCTTTTGTTGTTGTTGTAATTCAGATGATGACTTTGAAATAGATTTCGCTATAAACATATATCTCGAGAACAAAAAAAGGCTTTGAGTAATTGAATGTACAATTTCCTACTGAGATAAATGTGTTTTAAAATGGTTTTTTTTTAATAGCTTCTCTAGTGCTTTAAGTTGAGACGATTTCAAGTTGAAGGTTATTATAGTTAATCTATATTTATTCGTAACATCCACAAATAATTTAGTTGGTTATAGATTTAAAAAAAATTCCAAATCTTTTGTTCCATTCTTTGTTTTTACATTTTCATTATAATCATGGAGTGCTTTGTGACCGTTTTCCCCCTATTAAAAGACTCTTTTAATGAATGATTTCATAAAAACTCGACGCGTTTGAGAAAGGGATATTTTTTTATTGATGAATGACTGGAAATGCGTATTTCCGGTGTGCGTGAGAACACCTTTTCTTTCACCTTGCTCCCATTTAGATTAAGAACGTCAACATTTTCTGCATAATTCTACATTTAATTGCTTTGTGACAATTCGAACATAATTAGAAGACTGATTTTTATTTGGAGCAAAAACGAGAAATTGCGTTATCATCTCTCTATATAAATATTTTTGTTCATCGACTTTCATTGATTGTTCATTGTTGTTGTTTCAGTTTTGCTATTTTCGTCTCGTTTTCAGACTTGATGAAATATTATAGATTTGTTTTTCGTTCGATTGAATTGAAGCTTTTAGTACTATATATTTACTGGCAATTTATACTAAATTACTTTGTTTATTTCGAATGTTTAAAAGCTATTATTTATTTTATAAACAACCTTTAAATTATATATAAAATCTTGAAAATCCATCATTTTCATTATACCAAAACAATTAACAATAATACACTTGATGATTGACTTTTATAGATTAATTGCTATAATTTCATAAATCATACAAATTTTGACTCATTAGCTTTAGTTATCAATTAATGTTGGAATTTTTTATAACCAATCCAATTATTGTTTATTTTTTCAAAAACAAAATATTTCAATTGTTTCCGGCAACAACTTGATTATAATTCGCACAACCTTTGATAAATCGAAGATTCTCAAAACAAAATTGAGTTGATAATCTAATAATTGTTTATTTTTGTAGACTACTTTGATTTATTTACCTTTGAACGTTTCCTTAATGCTATAAAAGAAATTATGTTATTTGTTTAATATTTTGAAATGCAAGATTATGTTTTAATCTAATACAAACAGGCTTGAAATATTATTGCAAAATTTCTAATATAAAAATAATATTTCCTTATTTCTTGAAAAAAAAAACATTAAATTTTTACTATTATTACCATTATACAGTGTAAGATTGTTAATTAATTTAGTATAAAATTATTTTGTTCAAAAACTTAGAATTTATTGCGTTTTTTGACAATAAAATCATAAAAATCATTATTTTACTTACATTTGAGTATAAAATTACATAATTTCGTATAGATAAAAAAAACAAGTATGAAATGTGCCTTACTGCGTCATTCAATGTTTAATTTATAAATCATGAGACTTTACTTACATTTTTTTTTCGTATTATTATTTGTTTACAACGTAAGATTCTGAGTTCATTCAGTAATAATATTACAATTTTTTCGATAATATCGATTAAACCTATGTAATTATGTGGAATGTTTTAAAAAGATTATGATTTAATCTAGTTGGAAATGTTGTTTTGAATGGAACAAATTAATATAATTTCCTTGATTCACTCGAAAAGTTGTTTGTTTTTATTATTATGTTACTCAAGTTAGGCAATGTTGCGATGACTAGACGAAATTCTAATTAATTACAATTGTTGCCGGAAACGATTATGGTAACGTCTTTCTTGGGAATCGAACGGTACACCAGACAAACAGACACATAAAAAAAATGTGTTATTGATAAATTAGGAATTCGTAGTGGATGGTCGTCGTTTCTCTTCGGCAATTTTTGCCGAATAAATAAATACAAAACGAAAAACTTTCTATTTCTTAATTAATTGCTTTTCCTACGTCTATCTGGTTTCGTCTCTGCTCTTTTGAGTATTGGGAAGGAGTGTAGTATTTGTTGATAGTGAAGTAGTAAAAAAGTTCGGGTTAGGTAATCCATTGGTGTAAAGTGGGTCTAGCTGGGCGCCGGTCGCGTGGGACGTCTAGAGGTTTATGGGAGAGACCCGTCTGGTCTTAACTTGAAATCCGTGGTCTCTCCAGGTAGACGACCTTCTCTTTCGTTTTTCCACTTCTACACAACAACAACAAAAACAACATTTATCGTGTCAACTCAAAAACCTTATGTAATCTTGTTGGGTGATCCTCCAGAACAATAAAAACAAGCTCATTAACCAACGTCTTTTGTTCATATACTCGATAACGAGGAATTAGTTAAAAGACGTTACTAATTGCATTCTAAACCTTTCTTTTGTCATACACTAATTACCTTGTAGATAACAATATTTGCTCCCCTTTTCATTAACACGATAAAAAGTACTTTTTTCACTGCACAATAAAATACAAATTGCGTTGATTGAAGTTTAATTCTTCAATGTTTCATTATTTTGTTTTACTTGATTGGCGATTCAGTTACGCGTTGAAAGTGATTTATACGGCCTTTGTGGGTCAGCACGGTAGTTCTGTGTTATTATTGGAGCAATTAAAGAAAGTTTTATATCTCTAAATTTAAGACTCGGATGCAGCTGCAAAGCTGCTGTCCTCCTCTTCCACGTCTCCTCATTTCATCTCGTGTTTTCAACCGGTTTCGCGTTTGCGGATGCATCCAAGAGAAGCAACAACAAAGCTAATCCTTTTTTTTTGTTTGTTTTAGGTAAGCATCAACTGTCCATTGGAGATCTGTCCATGCCAATCCGTAAGTTTTATTAGTTTTTTTTTTGTTTGTTTGTATTTGTTATTTCTATGATGATTTTCGAAAGTAGTGAGCTCTGATTGATAACAGTATCAATTTTGTTTGGTGGCCGACGAATTGGGTCATATGAAATGCACTCGAAAATGGTCGCACTTATCGTCTCTCCCGCTTCGGCCGCAGTCGACTTGATGGATGAACAACAAGCCAATTTTACTATTAAAACCACGTTACATAAGGACGTGCGCGTTCTACGTTCGCGCTACATTCGAAACGAATAAAGTATATTGTTATTAATAATAATAATCTCTGGGGACTTGATGAGACGGCAACGAGATGATGATCATCATCATCATCACAATAAATTAATTAACTCTTCTCGTGGTGCGCATCGTTTTTTGCTCATTGTCGAGGCTTAATTGGCCCATTTTATACAACGACCATTTAAGTCGCCTTCAATTAGGTTTGATTAAATACAATTTTACAATTTCCATCTCAACTTTTCCTTCCATTTCATTTCAAAAGTCGTACTAATTTCTTCGTATTATAAAATAACAAATATAAAAAATTGCTTTTTGCTCAAGTAAAAGCTACAGTGACGAGAATCCAGTGAAAATGCGAAGTGATTTCTCGATGAACCATTTAAGGCGGAGATTCCTAACCGCAGCGGTCGGAAACTAATTAGAAGACTATTTTTTTTCTTTCCTTCTTTTTGTGATCGAGTTAATGGAGTGTCGCTGGTTATGGCTTATTTCGAGAGAATCGGACGAAGACGTGTTTCTAATTGTTACTACATTCCCGGTAAGGGATCGTTCCGGCGAGGAGAAATTTTATTTATTTTATTTTTTTGGTTTGTTCTTGAGCCAAAAACCGTACCGATCCAGACAGATTTTCTAAATTCCGAGCGTTTTCCCCAACCATCATCCATATTCAAGCTCATAAAAGTCGTTTCTGTAGATTTTTTCCTTCAATTAAACGCGTTATTATGTAAGAGTTAATGAGACTGCAGTGGGCTAGGAAAAAAAAACTTAGATAACAACACGCGTGTTTTCTAGTGGAGAAAACCGATGTAACACACATTTTCTTCTCGCATTAAACACGTTTTCCGACTTGATTTCTCTTGCTGCAAATACAATCTTATACTCAGCTACAAATTAGTAATTAGTACTAATAAATAAATAAATAAAAAAGACGAGCTTGTTTTGATTTGAAACTTAAATTTGAATATTCTTAAGTAACACAAAGTGAAAACACAAATTTGGCGAAAACATGCAAAAAAATTAAATTATATATTTAAAAAAAAAACTAATATGAATATTTCTTGTTTGTTGCGAGACAAAATCTTATTATAATTTTCGTTTAAAACAAAATCTATTTTTAACTTTAGATAAAAATTCATATTCCTCACGGCCAAAGTTTCTCCTTGCATTCGACCAACAACAACAAAAAAAAAGCACAATAATTTCAATCGATTAGTGCTGATGCAATAGAATATAATGTAATATTTTTTTTTTATGAATTGCACTTGAAAAAATAAACGAAATTGATAGAAATCAATGATTTGTAAATGAAATCATTGATTGAGATAAGAAATATTAAAACTTTGCTTTGTGTTTAGTTCATAAATTATGATTAATATAAACTTATGTACTTGTATATTTAAAAACTTATGTTAACTCCTTAAGTGGTTATGCCGTATATATTCGTCATGGTCTCTTTTATTGCGTTATATAAGTAGACATTGTTCTTAATGCAATCATTTTTGTTTTGTTGTTTGTTTTAAAGTTTGATATGGAAATACTCGTAAGTAAGATTACGATCGAAATCTGATGATGATTTAGTTGATTATTTTTTGTTTAAAACAACTAACGATGATTGAAATTAAGAAATAATTGACTTATTGTCCTTATAATAATGCAATCATCGTCAAGTTTGATATGGAAATACGCCAATCGAGATTAGTATTGAAATTTTATTTATTTGATAAATTTTTAGAAACAAACACATTTATCATATTTATTTATTTTGTTTAAGTTTTAATCGAAATCTTATAAAGTTTTAATTAATTAATTTTTTAAACAAGCTTTATTTGTTTATTTTTCAAGTTTGATATGGAAATACGGCAATCGAGATTAGTATCGAAATCTGATGAAGTTTTAATTGATAATTTTTCAGGAACAAATAAAGATGACTGCTGTTAAAAGAAACATGTAAGGTGATTGATTGGATCCAAATTTTACATAATCACTTTGCGTACTTTTCATAAGTCAAAGATGAGGAAAAAGTTCGGATCCGGAGGGCTTTGATTCATTCGGATTTGCGATAACTAAATAAAAAAAAAGCCGTTCTCTGTTCTCGAATTTTTCCACTGATAAAGGATTATCGCATCATTATTATGAATAACAAAAAATTGTTTCCTCGCCCAGCAACCAAGTGTTGAATATATATATGGGAAAAAGTGAGTGAGAGAGAAGAAAAGAAAAACTGTATTTATTATTAATAATAATAGTGCGATATTTCTGTTTCAATTTTTATACGATGTGCCATGTTATTATATTGTGTTTGTCCACGTGGTCTCTTCTCAAATAATGTGTGTGCGAATGTGGATGTTGCGGTTGGAGGAGAGAGCGTTTCTATCTGCGTCTGTTATCTATATCGCATTTCTAATTAAGCAGGCGTTTGTGTTGTTGCTAGGAGCGAAAAACAAAACAAAAAAAAAAGATTTCCAATAAGCGAGGCCGGCGCCGCCGCACTCGGAAAATTAGTTTTCTCTTAATTGATTCGCAAAATAAATTACGACATGCGTAACGAGCGAAGGAGTCGAAGTAAACAGCAAAAGCTGCAGCAGTTAACACATCAAATTATTGTGTTTACCGCAAACTTTAATTGCGTTTTTTTTTCTTTCGGGGTTGGACTTCCGTTCCTTCTGCCTCGCAACAACATTAAGAACATCGACAAGAGGCGAAGAAGAAAACCAGTTCTTCGCTTTGACCTAGACACGAAGGTGGAGTTGGATGGAGGTGGATGAGGAGATTTCGCGCTCTCAACTTCTTCCGATCGTTTCGGAGCTGTTGGTAATTTTCCAATGAGATTCTTCCATCCTCTCGCGTATTTATTTATCTCTTCCACCGCGGGTTTTTCTTTTTACGAGTGGCTAAAATTTATTATCCCGTGTTTGTTTGTGAATGTTTATTCCGTGTTGCAACTCTCCCAAATGCCCGGACGCCATTTATTTATATATATACACATACAATCTGCTACAGCGTGAGAGATAGTCTTCTTGACTGTTGCAAAAGATCAACGAAACTCCTCAACAGTTTCATCATCTGAGCCCAGATGATTGAGTCAAAACAGCAATTATTAAATCATCATCAATTGGTAACAATCTGCAAAAGATCAATTAAACAACTCAACACTTTCTTCATCTTAAGATAATTGAATCAAACCCAAAGATTAATCATCTACAATTTCGTAACAAACTGCAAAAGATCAATGAAACTACTCAACACTTTCTTCATCATCAGATGATTGAATCAAGCACAAAAAACAGCAATTATTAAATCATCATCAATTGGTATCATTCTACAAAAGATCAATGAAATTACTCAACACTTTCTTCATCTTTAGATGATTGAATAAAGTACAAAAAAAAAAATTATTAAATCATCATCAAATGGTAACAATCTGCACAAGAACAATGAAACTATTCAACAGTTTTTTCATCTTAAAATAATTGAATCAAGCCCAAAGATTAATCATTTTTAATTTCGTAACAAACTGCAAAAGATCAATGAAACTACTCAACACTTTCTTCATCTTAAGATGATTGAATAAAGTACAAAAAACAGCAATTATTAAATCATCATCAAATGGTATCATTCTACATAAGATCAATTAAACTACTCAACACTTTCTTCATCTTAAGATACTTGAACCAAGCACAAAAATTAATCATCTTCAATTTCGTAACAAACTGCAAAAGATTAATGAAACTACTCAACACTTTCTTCATCATCAGATGATTGAATTAAGTACAAAAAGCAGCAATTATTAAATCATCATCAATTGGTATCATTCTACAAAAGATCAATGAAACTACTCAACACTTTCTTCATCTTAAGATGATTGAATAAAGTACAAAAAAACAGCTATTATTAAATCATCATCAAATGGTAACAATCTGCACAAGATCAATGAAACTATTCAACAGTTTTTTCATCATAAGATGCTTGAATCAAGCCCAAAGATTAATCATCTTCAATTTCGTAACAAACTGCAAAAGATCAATGAAACTACTCAACACTTTCTTCGTCATCAGATGATTGAATCAAGCACAAAAAACAG